TCTGCAGAATCCCCTCACTGATTACACTGTAAATGATAATCTACCTTAACCAAAATCAAAGTAGACTATCACTCACCCACACCAGATGGAAAACATATATATATCGTCACAAAATTATAGAGCGCAAAGCGAAAAAAACAGAAAAATAAAATAAAAAATAAAAATTCGTTTTTTTAATCTTCTTCCTTACAACTCCCCCTGTTCAGAACCTCCTCTTGCGTACAAGGCCGCCCACATATAAACTCCGACGAAACAGTTTGTCACAGCCCCTCGTTTATTGTCCTCTTCTCCCTCTCTGCCTACGGTTTACCGGGCAGTTCTGCTTGACGACATGTATCGTCACAAATTTATCAGAGCGCAAATGCGAAAAAAAGAAAAAAAAAAATCTTTTTTTATCTTCTTCCTTACAAGACTCCCCCTATTCAAAACCTCTTGCATACAAGGCCGCCCACGTGGATGCAGGTTGAGCGGCGGCTGCCCCCACCCCCGTGTGTCATATCGACCCACTTGCACACAGCCAAAAGGCGAAGAGGCAAAGAAAAGAGGAAGGGAACAGCCAAACATTGGAGAACAGGGGGCAAACGAATCCTAGATGACAAGTCCCACATGCAGACACCGCCCCCGACAGCACAGGCCAAACGACGGGACAAACCAGCCAGGATTCAAGACACGGAAACTGTGAGATGGTTGAACGATGAGCCAGGCCATTTTCAACATAAATGAATACCAGAGAACAAATCTACCATATCCATAGCAAAGAATCTGAAGCAAAAAACACCTTATCTGCAAAAAAAAGAAAGACAATCCCAGATGACGATTCCCTCGTTGGCTGGCCCCATCCCCGTGTGTCACAAGGACCCACTTGCACGCAGCCAAAAGGCAAAGAGGTAAAGAAAAGGAGGAGGAAACCAAGCCTGACAGGGAAAGAAAGATAATCCAATAGTCACAAAGCAAATAACACATCCCACAGATCAACATATCTTTTCCTTTTTCTTTTTTTCTTTTTTTCTTTTTTTCTTTTTTTTTCCTTTTTTCTCTTTTTCTTTTTTTCTTTTTTTCTTTTTTTCTTTTTTTCTTTTTTTCTTTACCTGTCCCCACCTCGGCAGATAGGACAGCTACGGTGAGGATGATGTGGATGTTCACAGGGATGCCCAAGGAGAGCTGTGCCAGCACAGCATTCAGCAGGACGGCTAGCATGAACCATCCCATCAAATGTCACAAAGTTATCAGAGCGCAAAAGCGAAAAAAAACAAAAGGAAACAAAAAAATATCAATTCATTTTTTATCTTCTTATTTACAACTCCCCCTGTTCAGAACCTCTTCCGTACAAGGCCGCCCACGTGGATGTGGTATATATATAAATTCTTTTTTTTTATCTTCTTCCGTACAGCTCCCCCCTGTTCAGAACCTCTTGCGTACAAGGCCGCCCACGTGAATGTAGGTTGAGCGGCGGCTGCCCCCACCCCCGTGTGTCATATCGACCCACTTGCACACAGCCAAAAGGCAAAGAGGCAAAGAAAAGAGGACGGCAACAGCCAAATAATACAGAACAGGGGGCAATAAACAAGCGGCTGTGACAAACTGCTTCGTCGGAGTCTCACAGACTCATCAGGAGGCCGAACCCCTATAGGGGTGCGTTGTATTCGGCTGAAGACGGTAGCGAAAGGGATGGTTGACGTGCGCTGTGCTGTACTTAGACGAGAGCGGTGAGACACGCGGACGCATCTGCCCTAGAAAGCGGTAAAGGGCCCCCGGTCCGCCCGCAAGCCAAGGCCTTTCCAAACAATCCGACGATACTCCAGAGCAAGAGCCCCGCCCAAACATTGGCCTTCACCGCACTCGATGTATATGTATATATACTTACACAGACTCGTGAAATGTGAAAAGTGGAGGGTGCATCTTCACGTAGAAGCTGGCAAGATACATCCGAACCCACTATTCAGAGTTGCAAACGTATCTTGCCACCTTCTCTGTGACGATGCACCCGCCATTTTTCTTACGTTTCGTCAATAGCCTGTGGCGAGGCCTTTTTGTCTTCTTTGCATTCTTTACCATCATCATCTTCATCATCATCATCATCATCATCATCATCATCATTGAATTAACAATGCTGGCATTCTAAACCTGCCAGTGGGCTAAAAAAATATATGAATGCATCCGAGAACTCAGTAGTTTCAAAACACCCTCCAGAGAGAACTGGTCTATATGAATGCATCCGAAAACTCAGTATTTTTTTTTTTTTTTTTTTTAACTCAGTAGTTTCGAAACACCCTCCAGAGAGAACTGGTCTCAAGTTTTTGATGTGCTTTTTTGCGCTATTTTAAGGTTTTTTTGCGGTTTTGTTTTTCAGTTTTTTGCGCGTCGTTTTTCCGGTATTTCGAACAATATACAGCATCGATAGGATTTTTGAAATGCAAGGTCGCTAGGACGAAAAGAGAATAGAGAACAGGAAATAGACAATAGACAATAGACAATAGACAATAGGACAGAGAGAAGAGAGAATGGGGAACAGAGAATAGCACAAAGAGGACGACAAGGGCTAAGTGAGAAACGAAAAGAGAGAAGGGAGAAGGGAGAGGAGAAGGCAGAGGTGAAACAATTAATAGCCGTACACGCGACGAGGAGGAAAGAGGGAGGAGGAAAGAGGGAGGAGGAAAGAGGGCGGAGGAACTGCGGAGTGAAATTTATTCACACTGTAAATATGGCAAGATGAAACACAACAAGGGCGGGGAAGGGGGACGTGAAAGCGGGAGTGCAAATGGGAGACGAGAGAGGGTGAAAGGGGCGGAAAAAGGAAGGAGCGGAGGCGGCGCGAGGAGTCTAGAGGGGCAGAGGCGCGAGCACGGCAGAGTGATCAGCGGGGACGCAAAAGACAACGGGGGAGAGAAGCCACTAACGGGCGCCCGGGGGGCAAGGCTTTGGGTTCAGGGGGGAGGAGGGGAGGAATCCAGAGGGGAGGAGGCGATGGGGAAGAGAATGGGGGAAAGACGTCATCGGGATAGAGACGGCGATGGGGGAAGAAGTCAGCCGGGAGCGAAGTTGGCGGCGGAAAGGCACACGGGGGAGGGGGAAGAGAAGGGGGAAAGGAGCGCAGCAGAGGAGCGAAGCCACCGGGCCAGAGAGAAATCAGCGGCGGATAGAAGGGATCAGAGAAGCGGGGAGGAAAACAGGGGGAGAAAGAGTCAAGCTCAAGGAGAGTGATCAGCGGAGGAGCTGACACGAGGGGACACATGAAGAACAGGCAGGCGCGGCGCCAATAGTGGCGGCAGACGCGGAGGGATCGACAGAAGATTGAATTAGGGATTGGTCTAAAATAAATACTAGTAAATAAAATAAAATCCCAAAGCCACGTATGCCAAGGGAAATGCGATACTGCGGCGCGCACGTGTTTTCACCTTTTCTCCGAAGCTTCCTTTCCTTTTCTCTGAAGCTTCCTTTTCTGTTTCTCCCCCCTTTTTTTTTATAAGTTTTTGGGTACTGCAACCATTCTGGCAAGCTGCCATGTAAGACAAACAAGATCCTATTTATATGCCACGTGCGATGAACCGGCGTCGGAAGCACATTTGCACGTGACCACCGTCTTCCCCCGAAAAGAACGAAGGGTAATTGTCGCTGCATCTGACTGAAACTTGCCCAAAATGATTTAAAAAAAAAAAAAAAAAAAAAAAAAAAAAAAAAAAAAACCTTGCCCAAAATGCAGCTATAATCACCGCACGTTCTCTGAGGGGGAAGACGGTAGCAACGGGGAACAGGCGGATGAAGGGTGAACTCGGACAGATAAAACAGACAGGAAGGATAAACCAGGGAACGACACGTGGCATCACGGGCAAGCTCACAGGATAAGGTCATTCCACGCGTAGGAATGGCGGGAAAGGATGCGTGCAAACGTGGCGCCTACCTGGCCGAGGAGGGGTGCGCACAATTGGACGACCAAACTGCAGTTGCAGGCCCTCCTCCGTCTCCACAGAAGGACAAAACGTAAACTACCGTGATTACAAGGAGGAAGACATGGGCGTCGCTCCACTGCTCACCACATGCACGAAGGACAAAAACTATGGCGGTGCATCTTCCCATGTTATGGGGGAAGATTCTTTCTAAAAACTATGGCGGTGCATCTTCCCATGTTCTAGGGGAGGATTCTTTCTCATTTTTTACATTTGGTGAGTTGTGGCGGCTCACCCAATTCCTCAAAAGGGGGAAAAAAGAAAAAAGAGGGAAGACCTGCGCACACCCGTGGCAAGGTCCCGCTTGAGCCGATTAGGAGATTTCGGCCGTTGATCTTTGCTATCTCCGGTCAGTATCTCATAATTCGTGCAAGTGGGACCTAGCCCCCGAAAAGCGGGCCAGCCCGACCTCGAGGCGGCTAGCAGAAACAGGGCGTTCCTAATAAACGAACGGATAAAGCGTCGGATAAGGGCAAAAAATGTTGGATAAGGGGGGAAAAGGCACTCACAGAGAAAGGACCGAAAAAAACCGACGTGGGCGGCGCACGGCGCGATATCCCTTGCAGGCTATCAAGCCGGGAACACCACAGGAGGACCAACGGGCCTAGACCAGTAGCTACACCCATGAATTGTTGAAATACAGACCCAAGTTCGAATCCAGATGCAACCAGTGGAACAGAACAAAATCATTCTTATTATTAATTATTTGAAACAAAAAGGGGAACACCACAGAAGGGTGGTTGGCACTGGTCGCGACTTTGGGCAGTCGTCGCCGGTCCGGGTCGTGAGGCGGTCGTCGTTCGGTTTTATCCTGAGGCCCCAAGAACGGGAGAGCGTGCCAGCTTGGGACGAATGTGGCCTACGTGTGGACCAGGTGCGAGGTCCCACTACCAGCAGCGTTCTGTGTTTCTCAATGCCCGAGCGTGGGCCTGTTGGTCGAAAGGGTGCAGAAAATCACCTAGAGTTTCCTCAACTGCACATCTCCACAAATACGTCTAGATTCAGGCGTCAAGCTAGTGGGCCTTGGCCCCGGGTTCATGAAATAGCAAGCAGTTCTGTAAGCTCCGCATCCGAAGCAAAATTTGCAGCCTTAACCCGGCTCACTTTTTTGTTGTCTAGCGTGTTTGCTTTTTTAGGAAGTTTTTCGTCGGTTAACAGGGGTTTAGAGGGCGTCGACAGGTACGTTTGAAGGGTGCGGTCGGCAACGTCAAAACTTCCGGTAGGCCGAACGGTCGTCTCAGAGCTTAGAGGCTCAGTGACCAGTGACGGGTTGGGGAGGTCGCTCGTGTAAGGATGTTGGTCGGCGTCCGTGGTGTGTGTCAGTTTCCTTTTTGGGGAAAGGGGTGGGGGCTGTTGAGAGAGGGAAACGAGAGAAGAATATGATCTATACATGTGCAAAATGAAACTGAATCCACCGCTAGAACATGGAACGATACATTGCCATCTTTGGGTTTCAATTTTTGTCTTTTTGCCTCGCTCCACTGCTAAAATCACCACGGTCTATCTTTCCATGTTCTAAGGGTGTCTACCGTTCGATGGCTCATCTCTAGTGTCAAGCCAAATCCATCAGCAGCCCAGTACTCGGCGTGCGTTGCGACCAGCCCAAGGCCTTCCTTCCTAGGCGTAATTCCATTCCGATTTCCCTAACAATATTGTGGGTGCGTGTGTGGGAAGCAGGGATGCAGCGTTATAATGGCCACCCATCCCGTGCTCTGCCTAACAGCTGCCAAAGTGTTCAACACTTTTCTTTTTTTTTTCTTTTTTTTTTAAAAGGGCGACGGCCTTGTGAGATATTATCACCGAGCTGACCGGCCCCAGGCAATTCATTAGTAGTTGGTTTGACTCATCAAGTTCCATCATCTGGATTTGAACACAGGTATGTATTTCAACAGTTCATGGCTGTACCCACTGAGCTAGGCTCTCAGTTTTTTTTTTTGTTTTTTTTTTTTTTGTGTGTGTGTGTGTGTCTGATAATCTGTGTATTTCAAGGAAAAGATTATGAGGGGGACGGGGACCCACAATTCGACCCCGTGTAACCTCTGGCAGCTTTAGCGAGTTTCGCTTTCTACAGCACCAAAAGGACCCAGCTCACATCAATATGATTCTGTAGCATGAGTTATTCTACTGCTGATACAACTGTCTGAGTGTAAGGATCCTGCAAAATGGAGGGTGAGGTAGAGCTGATGGTAAGGGAAGAGGAGTGGGGGAGTGGGGGGAACTGGAGGTAGGTGGGGCTGAGTGGAGAGAGGGAAAGGTAGCGGAGGGAAGAGGGAAGGCTCTACATGTGACCCTGATACACAGGCCTAGAGGTGGCCTGATAACCAACCTACCAGTGGCTAGTTCGAGCCGGACACACCGGACTCCCCAATAGAACGCGACACTCTCCACCCCCCTCCCCACTGTCTGCCTGCTGTTAGCCTACCGTGGCTCGAACCAACTGAGAGCCCTAGTTGGGAGGTTCAACCCTTTTCAATCTAAAAAAGGGGAAGGACTCAATTTCCCAGTTCGAACATAAACACAGCCAGGAGATAGGTTGAAATCTTGACATCGGAGCCAACAGGCCTGTCTCTGTTGGTACACCTGTGAACTGTGGAAATGCAGACCAGCGTCCTAATCCAGTGCAATCGGACGAGCAGAAGAACATAATTTTGAATTAACCGGGGGCTGTCAGAAAAGTGATTTCCCAGCCATTGTTGTACAATTCGCACTGTGCAGCGTCTGGCACAATGTACTGGCCTGCCGATATTCTTCCTAGCAGGAAGGTCACGTGAATGGAGTGCCACAAAGCCCTGCTCCAAGTTGAACGCGTTATGCACTATACGGTAGGACCTGTCCAGGTTAACCATCACCCTCGCTATAGGGATATGATGCGTTCTGTCTGCGGAACATCAGACGGCTGGGCTATCTCTTTCCCCTGCAAAACCTATTCAGCCCTCCAAAATGACCAACAAGATGGTGAGAATAGCCGGAGGAGCTACTGTTGGGGGTGTTGCCAGAAGGAGTGGGAGACCAACTGGCGGCAGAGGGAGCGCTGACGGGGGCACTGACGGTGCTCAAGCTCTATTAAACCGCCAGTACCTTTCCCATATGTCGGCTGCGGGCCCTGCACGCCGAGCATTTGGGATGTACCTGGCTGGCCCGCCTGCCCGGGGCCGGCCTCCGTGTTAACGGCGGGCTTTTTTTTTGCCTGGGAAAGATGCTGGGGGGTTAAATACCTTTGTACAAGTGGAAAGAACGCTGTATCCAGCCAATAAATTGGGGCTGAGTAAGCCAGGGAGCTAAGGGTTGTGCTCCACTGCTCGGTCTTTGAGGAATTCCCCTTTTTAAACCACTAGTACTTCCTAAAGTCCTGTCTGTTATCGAGCCACGATTTTAGGAACGTACGGACCATTACAGAAGCGCCCAAATTCATTCAACTAGAAACGTTTCTACTCTATTTTTTTCCACGGCCCATAGCTGGGCCAACTACTGCTGGTTTAAATTAAGCACGGTGCAGATGCCGTAATAATGCGTGGAGCTCCACCCACCGGGTTGCAGGCGTGTTTTCACGATACACGCACCACCCTCTTAGAACCTATCCGGAAGGGAAGGTCC